TCTAAGTAATAGCTAATAAGAGTCTTTAAGTTCCTATATATAGCAAACTTTATAACCTGCTCTAGTAAATAGCCACTATTTATTACTAATTAGCCTATTATATTATAAACTTATTTAAAATAAGTACTTCTTACTATTTACCTTAATAAGCGCTTTATAACGGGTAATATAGAGCCCTATTTCTCCTGCAAAATTAGCTTTCTTTACCTAGTCTAAATACTAGTAGCCCTATATAGTCTTGTTTTTAGTTTTCTTAATTAGTTTATCTATAGATATTTCCGGAAAGACTAGATTATCTTATATCCCGTTTGCCTAATTTATAATCTAATACTTTTTGCCTAGTAGTAGTCTAGTAGTGAGAATATTCTTAATAGTATTATAGTTCCTAAATATACTAGCTAAAATAATAATAGTAAATAGAAATAAGAGGCTATTAGTAAAAAAAAAAGGCGCGGGCTTTAATTTCTTATATAATAGATGCTTTAGTTTATATATAAGCTATTAGTAATTATATAAGCTTTGGGATAAACTACTTTAGACTTACTTTTTCGGGATATCTTATATTTCTTTAGTAAATTCTCTTTTAAAACTTATCTTAATTTCTAGCTTTCTATTTTTCTATATAACTATATAAATAAGGTTCTATTAGTAATAATTAGTACGAAAATCAGGGTTTTATTTCTATCTCAGACTTAGTATCTTACTTTATATATTGTTTTATATATTTCCTATAATCTTATAGAAATATAGTAATATATCTTTAGTAAGGTACTTAAATCTATATAGTACTTTTCATAAATATAGTTATAGTAGTTATATTACTATAAGAGCTTTTCTATATTAATATAGTTCTTAATAATTAGAAATATAGGTGCCTTTTCTTTTATTAATAGCGGAATTATATATCTGAGTATATTTTTAATATACTTTCTTTCTTATTAGTAAATATATTATATATTAATATTTTAAAATAGGCTAGCCTATAAGTATACTTATAGGTATAACTAAGTTATAAACTTCTAAAGAAATTACGAAGTTTATATTATGCTACTATATTAATATAAGTTTTCGTATCTTGTTTTATATTATTTTAATAGTTACTTTTCTTATTTCTTTATTTAGTTTACCTAGGGTTAAGTATCCGACTGCTTTAGTAATATACTTTATATCTTTTATATTATATAAGTCTAATCTTAGATATTTCCTTTTATATCTAAGATATATTAGTACTTATTATTCTAGACTTAGCTTTATAATATTAGTAATATATGCTTCCCAAAAATCCTATATTACGTTATATTATAGTTAGCTAGTTTTCTTATTTAGTTTTCTATAAACGGGATTATTATTAATCCCAGACCTGTTCTCGGAGAGCCTATCTTTTAGGGCTGCCTCTATCTGCTCGTCTGGATTTAGTTCTCTCTAATATTTCTTTGCCTATTTAGTACTTATAGCTTATAGAACTATATATATACGGATATGAATATCTGGAGTAAAGATAAGAAAAGAAGGTCTTCCTAGAGAAATGGGAGAGGAATTAGAGAGAGGAGAGAAGGGGGAGGGAATATAAGTGAGGAGATATGTGAGAAGGTGTGTGAGAAGATAGGTGAAAAGATATATGAGAAGATAGGTAAGATCATAAGAAGATGGGTGAGAAGATAGGTGAGAAGATGGGTGAGAAGAGAGGTAAAGATGAGAGGGAACCGGTCACTTATAGAATATATAGCCCGAGGCAAAACGCAGAGGACGGCGTAAAATAACCTGAAGGCAGAAAAAGGACCCACGTATAAAGGAGGCAGACCAGGATAACTGTCTGGGAATGAGCGTATAGTGGGAACAGATTTGGGACCCCTGGCTAGGAAAGGGGGCCTTTTCGGGCTCCTCGTTAAAAGTTGACGATTTCTGGTGAGATGGGTGAGCAGGCCTGAGCAGACTTGAGCCGAAGTTGAGCCAGGCCTGAGCCGCCTGAGCAAAGGCGGCGCGGGGTCACGTGGGCCAGAGTGTTGGGAGGTGTCGAGATTCCGGTCAAGAAACATAGAAACTCAAGAGCGCAATGATACTGTAAGATTTTAATCAGCTGCGCTCTTGTCTTTCTCAGGTGACCAAACATCTTAAGAGAGCACCTCCATATATTTTTCATGCATCTTGCATGATGAGAGACGAATAGGAAATGTGGTGGGGCCAGAGCTTCAAGGCTTTCTCTCCCTTGCCGCTCTAATCAAGCCAATAACTACATCTCACACAAATTGCAGCAAATACCTGAGGCCAACGACACCAATGAGGAAGATTCCCGCCACTATAATATGGCCTATCACAATACAACAATAGAAAACAAGCGGGAGCTGTGGGTCGGAAAGCTTACGGCTTTTGGTGGAACACTACTAGGATTCGATTTATGGAACATTTATGTTGTAGAGAACATATCTCACAATATTTTCTATAATTAGCCTATGAGAGAACAAGAATTCATACCAGAATCTGGACTGCCCAAAACCAAGGGAGGAAACTCCGTACCAGCCCAGCACCATCACTCAAATGAATGCAACCGAAATCACGCCCCACCTCGCTCAAAAGTGTCCTCAAATATGACCAATTCTTTAAACCTCGTCCATCCTCACATTTTGAAAAGGCAGCTTATTCGCCCTTGAGTCTCCACTCTCAACCATAGTCATCTGCATCGTCGTCCTGCCCCACTCCGTACTCCCCGTCCTCGCCCTCGCCAACGCCAGTCCTAGCACACTCCGGAGACTATCCTTATGCAGCTGTCTCCCAACATCCTGCAACGGCATCGGCCTTGCCTGACAGCGCTTCTCTCCCTCGTCAAAAACACAAAACTCGGCCTTCCCATCCCCGGCACCTCACCTCGCCGGCAACCCAACCCTCCTCAACGGCTCCTCAGCCCGACGTTTCAGACACGGCATACACGTCACGATTACCCCGGGCAGCTCCTCCATTTCCCCATACACGCGTGGGATCAATTGTGTCTACTAATGAGTCCGGGAGCTCCCATAGGTGCGCGGGTCACGGTAGGTTGTGAGCTTCACGCAGGCGATGGCGGTGGCGAGGAGGCCGGTGGCCATTGGGATGCTGATTAAGAGTTTTTCGCGAAGCGGGCGCGAAATGGTCCGGATTAGTTTTATAGGGCTTAGGGCGAGGATGAGGCCGAAGAGTATCATTAGTGCTGGATGTACATGTAAGTTTGGGATTTTCTTTTAAAGGGACTTGAGAACAGACCGGAACTCGTCCTTCCCCAGACAGCGCCCGCGATCCAGGTTCAGCATACAACATCAGGAGTTGGCTCCCATAGGTATGAGAGTGGATGGCAGACGTTGATGGTTATCATTGTGTAGCCAATCTCTGAGAGTCCGCAGCACAGTTAGAGTATAGCAGGGTCCTCCAGGATAACGAACGGCTGAGGCGGAGAAGCCAGACTGCGATCGAGATCAGAATTAAGCTTATGGTATATAACGCTGTACTTTTGTTGCTAGGAGAGGTTTTAGGGCGAGATTTTTGCTGTCTTGAGGGACATAAAAAGTCCTGGATTTGTATAATTAGTGAAACATGAATCTTCGCGGCAGACAGGGGAACCTAGCAGCGAGATCGTTCGGTAGTCAACACCACTTGTCCTGAGGCCGTTGGTGCCTCTTTTACTTATGTTATGGGGTGTTTCAGGGGGAATTTGAAGCCTTCGAAAGGAAGCATCGTGTTTTGTTGGTAACTTTAATGCGAACAGATGAGAAACAAGATGATGATTTGAACTTAAAGAGCACCTACAACAGAATCACTTAATCATGAAAAGGAGGGAAATTTGTGACGACTCGTGGGTTTTGCAAGTTTCTCGATCTCGAGTGCTTGAATATTGTGGAACCGAATCCAGGGGTTGTTAGCGAGAGAGAAGCGACGAGGAAGGGGAGTGCGATTTGAGTCCAACGAAAGCGAGCTCAATGTTTTCACAAGATCTTATGCAAGATTCCAATGCAAATTATTTGAGCATACAATGGGATTTCACCTTCCACACTTGGAAGGAGAAATATCAGTGCACAGGTGATCAAAAAGGTACCCCAAAGTGAGGTGAGCTGGTTTTCTGCAAACGATAATAAATTCCATCATCATCATCATCACCATCATCATCATCATCACCATCATCATCATCATCACCATCATCATCATCATCACCATCATCATCATCATCACCATCCATCACCATCATCATCATCATCACCATCATCATCATCATCACCATCATCATCATCATCACCATCATCATCATCATCACCATCATCATCATCATCACCATCATCATCAACATTAACATCAATATCAGCAACAACCAAAAGGTATCATATGACTTGACCTGCCACTAGCGTAGTCGTCCGGGCTCCCCGGCTCCGTCGCTTAGGTCTATAAAAAGAAGGCCCTCTCTCCATCCGTCCCATCTCCTCCTTCCCTCAACAAATACTGACACTACGCTCTTCCCTCTACTCATTCCAGGCGTCCTGCCAAAGACACATATTCTGATTACCTTTCCCTCATCCAATCCTCAACCACCCTCATTGCCCATCGCTACCCATTACCTTTGATCAAGTACTCATGCAATTGACCTCTATTTCAATTCCACTTCCCCTCATATTTGACCACCACGGTCAACTCCAATTCCCCTCATCTTGGCATCTCTTCTCAAATATTCCTTATCTCACATCTACTTCCAATCTCACCCCATTTCGTCTACTCATCTGAGCATTCTCAGAGTTTCTCACCATCTCATTGCACTTCCTCGACGTCCTCGGCGAGCTCAACTTCTCGCAAGGCCACTCGATCCCTTGTATCTCACATATCCAATCTCTCATCTCGCGTCATTTATCAGCACAAAGTATCTCGCCTTCAAGTTCTGAATTTTCAGCTCATCTACCTCATCTTTGGAAGTTGCTCGAGAGACTTGACGAAAGTTGCGAATATTTCACCTTCTTGACGCCAAACAGTATCAGTCAGCCAGCTTACTTCTCTGGGCAAGTTGTTATTTCCAATTCTTTCACACGATTCAATGAATATCAGCTAATCAGATGACTATTCCAGAGACTGCAAATCACCAGTCTAGCCATGATCTCTGAAGCCTCTGCTACAAGAATGGATGAGTCGAACTTCTCGATTTCGGTGCAAGATAAGAGGAGAACGGCTAAGTTGAAAGAAGTCCTTCATATCATTGACCCCCAGAAGTCAACACAGCACAAGAGAAAATTGCACGATGTTGGAGATGTACGTGATCCGATCCGCCCTGAAAAGAAAGCAAAATTCAACGAGAACCGTCTGAAACCCGGCAATGGTTTTACAAACACGAACTTCCAGTTTAACCTGACTCGCCAATTAAATGGAAAAGACGAGGGTGAAACAGATGAGGAAGATGATGAATTCAGCGAAATTCGAATCCAGCCAGACGCATCTGACTTGAACAATTGCCTCAGGGATGCTATCGGCGACGGCCTTGATGATGATATCAAAAACACTGTAGCAGGTGCTGGCCCGGTCAATGTTAATGGTGGTCAACCAACTGCCGGAAATGATGACAATGTCTTCGTCAAACTGGCCGACCTTTCCAAGATCTCTTCTCAGCTTTCTTCTTCCAACGAGCTACAGGCTCTCGAAGATAGTTCTGAGGGTGACCCAGCAGAAGATGTTACATCGAAGCCAGGCAATGCAGAGGCCCCAACGAAACCTGAAAAGACGGCATATTATATCCGGCTCCACAGACCACACAAATCTCTGACTAATGAGGCTTTTGCCCAACTTGAGCTGATGTCAGAGCTTGCAAAGCCAGAATTGAGCTTGGAGAATCTGTCAGTTTTTGACAACGCAATTCGGATTCTCTTGGCAATTAACAGGATTCAGGCAGAGCGATATGCAAAATAAGACAGACCTCGAAAGATCAAAGTTGCACAAGGGCCGTATCCTCTTACAAAGAAGGAATTCTATGAGAGACTAAAAGGAGCTGAGGAGGACAAGCATCCATGGGCAAAGGCACAGAAACTTCCAAAAGACAACCTGCTGAGGAGGGTGATGGATGGGGCGAGCAAAGCAAGGTGCTACCATGGGAACGGAATCGTCTCACAAGTATCAACATCAAACTTCACAACATGCAAGGGCCGTCATGACTCAATGGACGAGCATCTCAACTATTCGAACAGGAAAGGGACGGCATTAATATCATGTTCGGGAGATGGCACGGACTTTGTGGAGAATCGCATCCGAAGACAAGACCGACGCGTGAAGCCCGAGAAAGGCGACGATAGGGGATTGGCTTACATCAACGTTCTATCACTGATCGCAGACGGTGTGCCTGTCTTGTGTGCCGAAGTTGAGGCCAACTACTACGAGGTTTGGCGAGCAATGGGCGCGGATTGGATAGAGCATGAGTACTTCGTTCTTCTTAAGATTGACGTCAAGCACATTGTGGGCACATGGCACTGGTCCGAGGTGCAAGAATATATGCGCAAGCACAAGTGCAGTTATCATGATTGGGAGCAAGCGATTGTCTTCCGTGCGTTACATGAGCATGAGAGGGTGAGACGGGAGGGAAGGCAACATGTTCCGAAAGATGGTTGCGTCTGCTGTCCACAGCATGGAAGACTATGGATGTCCCAGGCTCCAGTCAAATCGGATCAACAGCAAGGGGAGTAATGGCATGTATTCATAGCATTTTCTTGGGGAAAGGGGTTGATCTGTTGATCCTCCGCCAACAATTTTTGACATGGGAACGGCGACAGGGGGAATTTTGGGAATATGCAATCAGAATGGGGAGGCATCATATCGACGCAGACGAGGACGAGTCTCAGCCAGCATCAGTCTTTATAGACTGCATCATGCTGAGACTTTCCCCGAAACCGTCTACATAAACAGTATTATTAGAGCAATAATACAAACTTTCCCATCTCTTGAATTGAAATGTATAATCCCTCCCGCGGCTGTCTGCCGAAAACGCACGGCAAGAACGGCACGCCAGGTCATACAAATCAGCAGCTCTTACCCCTGTCCACCAACATCCCGTCCAGAGATAATGCAGCACTCTGGCGCAAGTCAACCAAACATCGTGGCACGGCCAAATACTTTAATTAATTATAGCAATTGGCCGGTAATTAAATTAAATTACGTCAGAACCTAATAATTAAAATTAATTAATTAGTCACGTGAGAATACACACTAAGTTTAGTATCTAAGCAGTAAAATAAGGACTAAAATAAGATTTATATAAAATTTTACTTAGTTATATATTAAGTTTTTTAAAGATAAAACTTAAAGAAAAGAGTATATAAGAAGAATAAACCTCGTGGTTTAACTATACGGGACGAGGCATATAAGGAATTAATATATTTCAAGAAGAGAATTTAAAGAATAGAAATAAAGATAAAGAATAATTCTAATATAATTGAAGTTTATATAAGTAAAAATAAGTAAGATAAAGCTCTTAAAAAGGGATCTTAAAAATATAAGAAGTCTTAAAACGAATTAATTAAATTAATTATAAAAATTTGATTTTTTAAAGAGTAGTAATTAAATTACAATTTATTATCTAATTAGAACTAATTACCTTGACTTTTTTGGACGGATTGTCACCAGTGGTCTTCAGGTTCGATTCGCAGATCTGGTACGGGCTGCTTGTCCAAATCGCCGAGAAGGTGAAAAGAATCCAAGTATGCACGCAGCCCAACATAGAGAATTCTCCAAATACGTAGCAAAGAACAAGCACTCTGAGGCACACATTTCGGGACTGGGCCGCGATTCCTTTGACTAGATCATCAGGTCTCACCGTGGTGGAGACAGCCGCGGAGAACAAAGCACAGCTCAACGGTGAAGTGTTGAGATTGATTCACTTGGGTCCTTAACACAAATTTATATATCCCGCGAATGGCCAGTCACAAACACCACGTAGTTGTGCGTTTTCGCAGGATTCATTTCCCCCGTCAGCTCTGCATTTCTTCACGCTCGCTCCCAGATTTGATTCGCTGCCCCTGAGAACCCCAGCCACCACCAGTAAACCCGGTCACTGTCAGCCTTGAGCACCCTTTTGAGGGGAAGCCCCCAAACCGCGGCCAACTCCCCATACCCAACCTTTACCGCGAGGGAGTCAATACCGCCAAGCTGGCGAGGAAGTTCAACATCATGAAGTGGTTCAAGAAGAAGAAGTCTCGCACGTTAGAACCCGTCGAGGTTCTCCCTCGGAGCAACAGCTTGGCGCCACACGGAACCCCGCCTGTATCAAGTCAGCTATTGGCAAAGCTGCCTGGGCCCCTCCTCGAGCGCATCTTCTCCTTCGTGTGCCCGCACACCCAAGATGAGACCTACGAGAGCTGCGAGCAGTCTGCGGTTGATGTCGGGGATACTTGTATGCTCTGCGACCTGCGGGATCTCGCTCACTGCGCGCAAGTCTCGAGAAAATGGAGGGTGCATGCTTCAAATGTGCAGTGAGTACTCTCGAACCTTAGATGTGCGGCTGGCAGGGTTTGGGCTGATGGAGGTTCTGCAGGTACCACAGCATACGCATCGATGCCGTTCACTATTGCCCTCTTGAAGAAATCCTTGCTGAGAGGCGCAAACGCCGTTCCCGCATGAATCGAAATGCCGAACCCGAAGACACTGCTCAGGCGCGGCTGAAGCTGCTCTGTAGGACGCTGGGGAACGACCAAGGAGGATTCGCCCTGAATGTACAATTTTTGAAGACGCCGTATATGACACGAGAGACATGCAAGCCGGATCTTGCGCGGGCCGTTCATGTTACCCCGAATCTAAGATATGTCGACCTTCCTGAAGGGCTGTTTACGGATGATCCGTCTTGCCATGCTTTGAAGGCGGAGATACAGGCGCGATGTCCAGATCTGAGGAAGATGTGCTATATGGGAGGAGCTGAGAAGAGCTTGGAGATGCTTGCGAGTGGGAGAATATGGACAAATCTGGAGGTGTTGGAGCTGTCAAGGTTGAATATGGATCCAACAATACTTCGTATGGTCCTGGGATCTCTACCTCAACTACACGCCCTGAAGGTCTCGGATATGAAAGCGTTCGACGATGATCTATTCAAGTACAGCGATAATCTTCCTCCTTGGCCTCCTCTGGCAGAACTTATATTCGAAAATACTCCAAATCTTACGGCGGAAGGACTGATAGCATACCTGTTCCGTTCTGACACCCAAGACTCTCTCAAGACGTTGTCTCTCACAACCACAGGCGTCCACCCATCGACACTACAACGGATCCTCTCCGTGGCTCCAGCCCTCCAACATCTCTCATTAATAGACACCGTATCCACCTCTTTTCCAGGCAACCAAAATGTCCAGCCCCTGAACTCTACATCTCTCAAAATATTCCATTACGAAATCACATCGGCAACATCAGCAAACATATACACTAGCACTACTGCAAGCTACTACGATTACCTAAGATCCTCTCTCCTCTCCGGCGGGCTACCAAAACTGAAGGAGCTTTACGTGCGAGGTACCCATCTCCCTTCCCTGCACTGTAACAGGAGCTAACAAAAAGTTTCTAGACCCAGATTTTGCAGACTCCCTAATCGACCTCGCCCTCCCTCCACCACCCTTCGGCCACTCCCCCTCAGCCTCACAAGACCGAAACCCCTTCCACCACAACCAAACCAGTCGCCCCCTTTCATCCAACAACCCCTTCCTGTCACCCTCCTCCCCCAACTCCCCCTCGTCTCTCCCTTCACCAAGAGGTCTCCCCTCCTCCCTCGCAGTCTACAGCAAAGGCCTCGAGGAAATGGAATGGAATTTCTCTCGCGTTCAACCTCCCACCCTCCCCGGTCGCCGGGGCTCAGCCACCACTCCTCGTCCAGTGAGCAGTTATGGGTTGGAGAATTTGAGAGCGTGGAAAGATGAGAGAGGGGGTGTGAGAAAGAGTGTTGTTGTTGGAAATGGGTGGGGAGGGTTTCTGGCTGTGCCGGTTGATGGTGGTGGTGCGGGTGGGAGGCCGAGTAGCAGTGCGGGGGAGAGGGGGAAGAAGAGTGGGAGTAGTTACGATATGTTTCGTTGATGGGAGTCGCGTCCCTGCTGCCATCTGTCAAGTTTGGGAGGGGGCTTGGCGTTGAATTTTGGTGCGAGGATCTAGCCGGGAAAGAAAGAAAAAGGAGTGATCTATGTAATTTTTTTTGGAGCAATGTTTTGATAATAAAGACAGGGAGCAAGGAGGGCTGGAGGGAAGGAAGGAAGGAAAGAAGGAAAACGACCAGTTGCTTGCCCATGGGGGCCGTATTTTTTGCTCAAGCACACACGAGTTGAGCTCACACGGATACCATTTCAGTACTGACTTCGCTTCGTGTATTTATACTCACACGTCGTTGCTTAACAATCCACGCGATGCTTTACCTCGTCTCCTCATTCCCCTTTTTCATCAGTCAATCTTTGTTGCACATCGCCAACCCACGGCACGATCCGAACCGTTTCGAAGCGAGATCTGGTCATGTTATGCTTCACTGCGGGGACTTCTTTTCCAGGTTGGGAATTGTGCGGGGTCATTCATCATCATCATAATGTCATAGGCAAGGGACAATGAGGGGTGCGTGGGGGTCGCAAGATGAGGGTCGCCTGATGTCTTGATTTAGAAGGTGGCGTTTTAGCGAGGTTGTTGTCATGGGGGGTGGCTATGGGGAGTTTGAGCATTGTACAACTGAGCGTCCACCGTTGACACCAGCACGGTAGGTGCTGGGTTCTGTTATCCGAAAGACTCCTTAAAATATTTCTTAAAATTAGAACTTGATGCACCTGTGCTTCTTTGACACCACGGAGTCTCAGATTTTGATAATTTTTATTACGTACACCACATCAGTCTTAAGTAGTGGTACCTAGCGATGGCCAACGAAGATCCTATATCAAATGTGGCTGCGAGGTGAGTTGTAACGGGGCGAGCAAAAGTACGACACAACTGGCTATTATTGGACTGCCTGCTGGAAGGCAGTTATTTTGCATCTGTGGCTTGATCCCATGCAATGCATCGTCCTTTTGTTCGGCTAGCCAGCCAACTGATACCCCCAGCACAAAAGACCCTTCCCCAGCAAGTCTCAGTCATAAGGCTGCAGCAGGATATATATCTCGATCAGATATCGCTATCCATTAAACTTCCTCTACCATCGCGAAAGCCTCATAGCTCATCCCATCCACTTCGTCGTTCCGATTACTTCTCAAATAATGTCTTACACTTCTCCTTTCGCTCCTCCTTATGCTTCTGCTAGCACTGCCAACCTGATGGTAGTCGCGCCCTGCAAGGCCACTCCTACTGCAGAGAATTGGGAACGCCATCGTCCACTCATCAAACGTTTATACGCAGATGAAGGAATGAAGTTGAAGGAAGTCGTTGCTATCATGGCTTCTCAACATGGACATAATGCCACGTCAATATGCCAATCCCATGCATGCAATCATTATCAGCTGACGTATCGCAGCCTCAAAATGTACAAAGATCGAATCAAGAAATGGAGACTAGACAAGAAGAACAAAGAAGGCGACATGCTTGCGATCCTTCGCAAGAAAACGGAACGAGAAGCAGTCGGGAAATCGAGCTCGTTTCGGGTACGAGGTCAGCCCGTGGCCATCGAGGACGTCTATCACTACTTCAAACGGAAGAAGAATATGCGAGATCAAGAAGCATACAATGCTCCTACGCCTTCTGATGTCTCCTGTCGAACGCCATCACCAGCCCCAACCGTGCCGCCTTTTGGGAATGACATCCAAATGATGACAACAAATCCTTTTTCGTGGCCAGATCAATTTGCGCAGCCCGAGGGAGCTCAATACGCCAACGCAACAGAGAATCTTGACGACACCGAAATAGATGGCATGGTGGTATCCACTCCTGAAAGGACCTTTTCCGAATACAATGAACAAATCTTACAATGTACCCTCCGCGACATGTACAACCTGATATCGAACAACGGAGACATTCCACGGTCTCCTTCCAACCCACAGACTCTCCTCATACCCGAGCGTCTATTGCTCGCCATCAAGACATACGTGGATGGCTCTTTTGAACGAGGCTCCTGGATCACAGGAGAGGATGGATATTGCGTCGCCCTCGGCATGCCATCTAGCTCTCCTTTTAATTTTTGTGGCTACTGCCAGTCAGCTATGTCCCTACTAGACCGGGGTCTTCTTGTCGAGTTCCGAAGAATGCTATCAAAAGCGTTCAGTGTTGTCGACACTTTGATCCGAACCCAACATCCTCGAACTCTGGACTGTATCATAGATAGTGTGCTGTACCTTAGATTCAGAGAATGTCACGATATTGTTGAGTTGTTACTTGGGTACCTTTCCAGAATATCTATGATTTTGTTAACGAAAGATTGCCCCTTGGCTCGTATCTTGCGGCTCATTAGCATGCTTGAGATAGACTCGCTGGAACAAGGACTCACCGAGGCGTGGCGATGCGCGCTTAATGGTTTCGAAAAGGCTCTTGGGGAGTTGCATATATCGAGTCTGGACATCAATCTTGACTTCACCATACGTGTATACAGCCATTTAAGTGGTTCTGTGGTTGAAACCCATCTTCGAAGACTTCTCGCACAGGCAGAGAAAGAATCAAGAATTTCGAAGTCGACCCTGCAGGTTATGGTTTGTTTGGGATGGAACCTGTATGACCAAAGCCAGTTTGCAGAAGCTGAGCAATTATTTCTAGATGTTCTCTCCCAAGCTTGGGGTAAAGGCTGGTATTTCCTGGAGGTCGATGCTTTAGGGCATCTTGCTCGCTCCCAACATCAACAGGACAACAAGAGCTCGGCTGAGAAGAATCTACGACAATCTATTCAATGCACATGCGAAACGTGGGGCATGGCGGATCCATTGACCATTGGCCGTATGATTGTTTTGCTGGAATGGTTGCGCGAATGGGGACGAGAAGAGGAAGCAGACCAACTCCAAGCAGAGATAACTGAGGCGACAGGCCGGGATGATATTGATGAAGAACTCGATGAAGAACTCGACGGGCACTGAAACTCTTTCAGGGGTACCTGCAATGTCTCTACAGCAGAAGCAGCAGTCACTCGGACTTCACCTTCAAGTTCCAGTTCTTCTGGCATTGCGGTTTTATATCATTGTTGGTCGCTATGCAAACAATTTGGGAAGTTCTCCAAAAGTTCTTGGCAAGACCGCGAAAGGCGAGAGAATCGATACTTGAGGCATGCCGTCACCATACATGCCGTTGCGCCAAATCGAGGTTAGGGGTTAGGCGATTTCTCGGGGCTGAGATTTGTAGATGGTGGCCTCCATAGCTTGACATTGCAATCACGAGGCATTGTTCTCTAGAAGCCGCTTTACTCCATACGCTCCAAGCCTCTCGGACACCCTTGTTGCGTAATTATGAGAGACGCTTGCCAGTGACTGCGAGCAAGATATCTGGTGGTGGACCATGTTTGAAGAGTGTTATTTATCAAGTGAAATTGCGATATTCAATGCGGATTTCTCCTATTATGCAACTGTATTTCTCGGAAGTTTCAAGTTAATTCAGACTCCTTCTGCACTTCCTTCTCGAAGTTCTGGGCAAATTGCACCAAAGATCTTCACTCTCTGCTAATTCCAGCCTGCACCCGTCTCTCGAAACAGATCCAACTCAACATATAATTCCCCGCCACAGACGCCATGAAACACCCAAAGAACACCGCAATCCTCTTCTCATCGCCCCACTCAAGGGCATTCTTTGCAGTAGCAAAACCCCATATGACAAAAAATCATGACCGGCCAGCCTAGAAGCATGCGTGGAATCTGCCAAACGTGTAGCTGAAGTTTCAACGGCCGCCACTTCACCGGCTCGGCACTTTCAACATTTAAAGGCGATGGAGTTTTTTGAGCTGGGGTGATAGGCGGAGGGTTGAGGACAAAGGTTCTCCCAGCAAGTGCCGAATCTTGTGTTTTGCTGACTCGCTGCTGTTTATTCGCGCTAAGGCTATAGCTTGCTGTGCTGCGAGGGATAGAGACATTACTCCGAAAAGAAGTGAGGTGAGCCAGACTGCGCGCAATGTCCAAGGTAATGTAACGGGCTTGGCGAGGGATGAGGTGACGACTGAGGAGAGAAGTGCAGCCTGTAGCTCGTGAGATTCTGGGAAGGAGATGTATTTAGGGTGAGCTTACTACTATCCCGATAAAATTGAGTTCGTACAATGTGGTTTCTTTCCAATTTTTGATTGCATCGTCTAAATCGTATCCAGGGGTGGAAAAAGAGACTGATATGGGAAGGAGAGTTGGGCTAATATGCCCAAGGCGCGTTGAGCTGTATTGGCGGACATCTTGCGCGATTCCTCACTGATCGGGAACTATCGAGGTGCTCTGACTGTTCTTAATTCTGAATATCGGTGGCTGCGCTGGAATTTTCACAGGGCTGGAGCGAGGTGCGGCTGGTTACACAAGAGCTGAGACTTGCAACTGGTGGCGTCCAAAGCATGCAATCCCGGGCTCTTTCCCCAAGCCACCCCGTACGGAAAACCGCTCCCGGCTTCCATAACCCAGTTCGCCTCACTAAAAATCTGTGTCGCACCCTACGAAAAAGTCAAGCACTAAATTTTTAGTACCTACAGCCTATAATTAAGCGACCGCAACCCTATAGTTTAGCGATGAGAAGCCTATAATTATAGCGCTTACGCACGGCTCTTAAAGTTGCTTTCCACTTCTCTCTTTCCGCCATCCCTCCTTACCCCCCTCTCTTACCCTTATACTTATATATATATATATATATATAAGAATTGAAGAGAGAAAGTAAATATTCTAAGTAGTAGTAGAGGCGTGGTCGTAGGCGTACCAGTAGCAGGGAAGCGCGGGCGATTTTTGGTAAGGTGAGAATCATAGAAGCGAGAAGCGGAATGCGCGCTGGCACATCACGCCGGCCTTACTCCTATGACTTTTTGGTAATGTTGGAATTCCCATATTTGGTTTGCAGCAAATTGCTTGTGTTGCCGGACACTATCCACCACCAAGCTTCTAATCCCGCTGTGCTGGTCGTTCTTGGGCTCTAATTGAACACGATTCTGAGAAATTACGGGGCCACGGGCAGTTTCGAAACCTGGAATGATCTTAGGTCTATGATTCAGGACTTACCACCTAATATTTTCAGAAGCCAGTATCATACTGGGGAATCTATATTGACTGCGACTGCCGAACGCTCACAGATAACATTGGTTCTGGGAAAGTCTTCAGTGTCGAAGCAAGGAGGAGACTAAAAGCCTCTCTCGTGACGTCCAGTGGGTCCTATCGTGGAAAGGGCAATTGCACAGCAAGTTGCGAAGTTTGCCGCGATTTGTCGCCCTGTCCGTTGTTCCCGATCGGCTCCCGAGGCGCGAAGCCAGAAACTCATGGTTTGTCTCTCGTGTGCCAAATTTTGCAAAGGTACAGATTAAGCACAACTTCTAAACAATTCATGGCTATGATACTTGAAAATTCTGATGAGGGTGACATATTGCGTGTTTTATATGGCTCTAAGTTCCCCCAGAAAGTACCCGGAAAAGAAGATACCTGCACACTGATTGGCAGTGCTTTAATGAAGATTTGGGGGGGTCTTCTGGGTAAGTTACGCGCCTACCCGAGAAAGTCTGTGTTTTTAGAGCATTTCGTTGATAATTATCCACTAACGCGAACTTTGATAATTTTACCTTATATCGCAATTATTTAGAATAAGGTCTTTAAACTTGATTTGGTTTCTTTTATCTTATGTGCTCAAGTTTAAAGGCAGTATACTTAATAGTTATTATATAAATAGGAGGCAAAGCCGTTGACTTTGGTTTCGCGAGGCCTGGAAATATCGCTAAAAACGCAGACTTTCTCGGGTAGGCTCTGGTGGGCTCGTTAGGCTCGCTTTCCATCACAATATTTTCATTGAGGAAGAACAACTTCTCTGACTCTAACTCGCCGACATTTCAATAGGATACACTACAGCCATAGCAGACCTGGACTGCACAGAAACCCTCCAGCAGTATCTCTCCTCAGTCTCATTGGCTCAAAAATGTCTCGGATTTGAACATTACCAACATTCTAGGCAGCGATTGTCGCCCCACCTCCTCATTATCAGCGCACCCGCCCCCACTGTTCTTGCTCCCTCGCCCAGAATTTCATATCCTCCGAGTCCAGCTTCATCATCAATACAGCCTTAAGATCATTCCAACCCCCCGCCCCCCCTTCTCCCCCAAATGCAAGATTCGCGCAATCACTCGCAATTTTAGGGACACCTCCCCTCACCATGACCCGCCCCATCCACCTCCTCGTCTTCCCAACCCGCGCCTCAAAGATAAACGGAACTCGATCACACTGGGCTTTGTTCATTCCTTATACCACCGATTCCTCGGTTGGGAAACTGATTCAAGTCCTTGGAACCCCGTTCACTGGGTATGGACTAGAATTCAAACGCAACTACAACCTTACCCTCATCACTGAGAAACTCGAGAAAGTTTTCTTGGGAGAGGTGGCTGAGAAATGGGTCCAAGCTGACGACGACGAGGCAGGAGATGGAAAAACAATAACGGACGTGACTCCCAGGGATGAGATCGAGAGATTGGCGAAACGGATTGAGGTGCCAGGTATTAGTAAGGAGCCTTTGAATCCCCTAGTGGTATGTGTGATTGAGGGAGAGCACTATGAGGTGTCAGTTGCTGATTTAACTAGGGAAGGAGATGTCAGGAGTGGACTAGAGAACTTGTCGAGGTTCTCATTGGGAAAGGAATTTTGAATGAGGGTGCCATCGGAGTTCTGGATCGAGTGAAGGCTGCTGAAGGAAAGGGTACAGGGGGTAGCGAAGGTCCGACTGGTGCTTAAATCGACCAGTCTAGATTAAGGTCTCTAGATCTCGGGTGACAAGGGAGATTCTAAATGTACCAGGCCGTGTATATCAGATAACGAAGTGGTATTTTGAAAGCCTCATTGGATGGGAATTGCAATCCGGTTCTCTTATATTGAAATTTGTTTTTCTGTCTGGCGATTTCGAAGAAAAAAAACATGATTTGTATATTTGATAGTTTTATCATTCGAAATGGGGTCACAGCAAGTGCCTCGCCAAACATTCCCCGCAGCGGCTCGTTTCTGGCCATCCCGCTTTTCCCCTGTGCAAGGCGAGATAACCGAGAAGCCAATCGAAGAGCGCAAACATCGCCCAGTCTCAGGGGTCTTGCCATACTTGGTTAAATACCCTATTTCAAGGCGTTCAGCTCGTTCCAAAAGCGATGTAGTGTGTTGTGGTCGCAAGAACCCGCATCAAGAGGATTGGTAAAGCTTGTATCCCTCCCGTGTCCGGGAAATAAAAGCTTGTTCTAGATTCGATATGCTTTGTTTTCTGACCCGTGACGGCTCCAGGCTTTATATAGATATGGCATTGGGTATTACGGTGCCTCCGTCCAAATTCTCCTACTTTCTCACCTCGATCTCTCCATTACATCCATCGAACAACTCTGAGTTTTGCGCGCTATGAAATCTCAGATCATTTTCGCTCTTCTCCTAGACTTCACCTCGGCCCAGCTTGGGGATATTCTCTCTTATAAGTACCAGCGTTATTCCGAATGTGGAAGCCTTCTGTCAACCTGCCAACCAACCATTTCAAGTACGTTGTTGACCTCCAGATTAATATATTTATACTCTCACCACACTGGTCTCCTCTCTCACACGTTCGACTGACTTTGGGTTCAGCATGCGCGAAAATCGTATGCGCAGAATGCACTGACCTCGGCCAAACCGTCATCAACAATTGCTGCTCTCAAGCAAATCCTCAACAATGCTTCATCAGCCGAGCTGGTAGTGGTGGCAATGGCAATCCATACATCACAACCGCGGCACCAGACCCTAACCTCGCCGCGTGCTCCACGGCACTCGAATACATCACGGAATGCGAGGCCGGAACACCCGGGTTCTCGAACTTAGCCAACAGCGATGAGGCAAGCTGCCTTTGCTATGATAGCACCACAAGTTGGGACCCAGTGGCTTTTGATAATCCATGGAGTTCTTGCATTGCGTGGGCGAAGACGGCCGACTCTACTGCTTATGTTGGATTGCTCTCCAATGCTGGTATGTGTGCATCCGTGGGAAACATTTTGAATGCCCCTGCCAGTGTGGCAGTAACATCAACAACCACTATGGGAAGCGGGGCGAAGGCGACTGTAACTTCTACGGTGGCAACACCTGCAAGCGGAAGTCAATCTGTCGTGATGGCGACTTCCAGCACTACAAAGTCGACCAGCAGCAATGCTTGTTCACGTTTCACGAGAAATATAAGAGGTGTTCTTGGGGTGCAGGTAAGTTGCTCAGAGACAAGAACCTTTGGTACTGCTAATGTGAAATTGCTCAGGTTGTGTTTGGCTTGGGCTTGGGCCTGGTCTTGTAAACCTCGTTTACCTGAAACGAAAATGCTGTTCCGGGGGTTGGGCTCTTAAATGACTTCTTCGGACATTCAATTATAGGCTCCGAAGGACTGCGTATCACTTCATTTCAATACATCTTATTTAACATGTCTTCACAAAAGACACAGCTCCTTCCTGGTTTGTGATTCAGACGTTCATGACTCCTTCCAAGAAAGTGCACATATCATCCACTCCGTGATCTGGTTGAATCCAATGTCCTCCATCTTTATATTTCTTCCACGTTACATTATGTCCCAGTCCCTTCATAATCTGATGCAAGTCGTTTCCGAGTTCGAAAGGAACTATATCGTCATCCTCCGAGTGTGCAAGAAAAAGTGGAGTTTTGGTCGCGGGCTGTGTGCCTTCGGACAATCTGCTCAGGATATTTGCCGCTTTGTTGAATTCGCCGTCCCTCAAAGTGCTGGGGATTCCGCCTTCGGGTCCACTTGTAATCTCGTTCGAGGCTGGTATAACTTGTTCCGATGGGGCGTCGTCCTTCGATGAATTGGTGATTCCCACTCCGGGACCACTTGTGAGTCCATTCGATGCTGGAAGAAGTTGTTTCCGTTGGGGGTTGTTGCCTTCTGGGCTCTGAAGGATCATCTGAATGTGCCGAGATATGTCGCGCTTGTTTCCGGTGCATCCATTATCGAATTCTTCGATCGACTTTTGGAGCGGAAGCCAGCCACACCAACCAATAAATGCTCCAATCTCCAGGCCAGACGAAAGAAGTGTGAGGATTGCAGTTGCACAGCCCTAGCTGAGACCCCCCAGAATGATTCGTTCCTTGGGAACTATTCCTGCCTCCTGTTCAATGATTCTAAGATCTGTCTAATGCTCTCTCTCAACCCGGGGATTGCGAGCTCATTTTTCTCTTCTGGATTCCTGACGTCCCATGCATCGAACCATTGAGATATGAATTGTTCACTTTCAAGTGAAGGGAATGAGCTGATGCAAAGTTCTTCTTTTCGTCTTGCCGAGAATCGAATTTTGGCGGTTGGGAAGACCCAATGCATCGTGGGGAACTTCACAGGTAGAGTACGGCCGTCTGAAGATTTGTCGCTTAAGAATTCGGCCATATATTCGCCGAAGTCCTCACGCCCATGGAGAAAAATAATGGTGTGCGTGTGCCCAGCTCCTAAAGGGTTCACGGTGGTGGTACTCTTGCTTGGAGGAGGCTCTTCGTCTGACAGGGTCCCCATTATGGTGGCATCCCCAGTAGCGTCCACAGTCGCCATTTTGCAGATGGATGAGAAGCAGTCTAGAGTTGTGGGGTTCGACATTTGTAAGATGTGTGTGAACACGTTGTTGTTTGGTGATGTTTTTTCTTCCGTGATCACGCGGAAAGAAAATTTACTGCAAGATGCTTTCCTGATATAGAGTAGAGACTACTTCTAGTTCTCTCAGTGGTCACATCAATCAATACTTGGGACTGCTGTGACTTATTCGTTTGTTACCACGGTTCGGCTACTTCTAGCGCCAAGTGGCCGCACTGTGGCAAATTAACAGCAGGGTCTCAAGCTGCTGTACAAGTTTACAACGGGTAGATTATCTATAGTCTGGGAGGTGCAGATTTTTCTGCTTCTTTTTGCAAACACTTATTGAGACTCTTTTAATTTCAGGAACACATTTCCGAGGAGCTGAGAAATGATTTTGCAGTGGTCTGGTTTAGGAATAGGGGCTCGGCAAGCACTGTGTAATAAGCGAGCTCTGCTATACATCATGAAGGCGAAATAGGGTGCCCTAAGTTCAGACCCTTAGATAAGTTAGACTGTTTCTGTAAAATGTTCACCAAAAATTGGGGAAAGGTGAAAGAAATTCTCCTTGGCATCACAACTTCGCTCACGCTTACATGACTTGGTTCTCCTTTGTGCCAAAAAGGGATTGCTGTTGAAACTCACTCGACGTCAACGATCATGATAAAGCATTCATTATTTATGGCAAAACCTGAGGCATGAAATTATATAGCAATCTTTCGCAAACACTTTCGTAATGCAGAGTCCAAGTCCATCCCAAGCCAAAAGATTTGCATCAAAATCACATCGCCACTATACACAGAGCCAGCCACCGCACACGGAAAGGTACACATAACAGAGAGACCATTGCATTGATCAATATTGAGCGAGGCCCCCATAATATGTATACCCGTTATTTAAGCTGGCTTCAATACAGGTATCTCCATTCTGAAGCCCCATCGAAAGGGCGCTGGCGCCCCTGCTCACTTCTACTTGTACGATACATTCGCTCGCTGACTAGTCGTATAACTAAATTAAGCAAGCTAATCAGCGACACACTTTATTCGCTAATCTTATTTCATTGAAAGCCTAGGAGGCATCTTCAGGAAAGCGGATTATAGCACTTACTAAACACGCGACTTGACTTAAGATATTGCCGTACGAGACAACCTTGTTCACAAAAGCGACCTATAGGACCTTAGAGAATTCCGTTTCCAAGCTAAAAGAAGGGGGCCGGGGGTCATGAAAAACGACCCAGGAAAGAAAAATCGATCAAGACGCTTCAGTGAAAGGTTGAATTTCTGAAATGTTGAATGAAAACATCACCGACGGGTGTACGTTGTGCGGCGGATGTGGAAATAACTTCTTCTCCGATTACGTTGTCGCTTCAAGATGATGTTTTATTGAGTGAACAAGATACGGTGAGGAGTTCGCTCCATCATTACATCGGGGGCACCTGGAGACAAATGAGTTAGTGTTGTGCTTCCTCTCGTAGGTAATTCGCCGTATCGTTTCTGCCAATTAACTATAGAAAATAAGAAGACTCGCCCGCACAATCGTTTCTCTGAAACCCCCTTTCAATCCTGGCCGTCTCATCGAGGTCTGAGCGACTTGGATGAGGCGGAGCTCCGAACTTCAAACCTTGAAGACTGCGCCACAATGTCCGCCCCATTAATATCTACATCGACCCTCGTTTCACAGAAGTGCAAAAAGCATTTGTCCTTTGTTTTTACATTGCATTCACCTAAAACAACCTCGGTCCCTCGTCCAGAACCTCGATTACAGTAATCCAGACCACCTCTAAGAAAACTAGCCCACTACGAGTCGACCACGGCGATGCCTCTCTATACTCTCCACCTCTACCAGTGGAACGCCACCGCGGTAGACAATAGTATCGAGAAGTCCTTCCAAAAATCTGTGCACCAACCAATCGCCAGTCTGCATTCCACGACCTTCCCCTGCGATCCCAGCACCGTTCGCGTCGAATTCATGTTGCCTTGTGGCGAATCGCACAGTCGTGGCTATGTAAAAATTGCTCCCCCTTCCCCATGCACCAAAGCTCAAACTCTCCCCCATGTACTGTACAGGCTCATCGATTGATGAAGAACTGACGAAGTGAAGGGCGGCTACGGCTACGATGCCGGCAAAGACTCAATGTTCAGCGACAAGAAGAAATTGTCCGATTTCATGGTTGTAAACATGGATTTCCGCGGTAGTGCAAAGGAATGGCAAGATTATTGTCAGAGGCTAGTCAGGTTACCGAATCTAAGGGGACGGAATCTGAGGAGCGTGTTTTTGCAGAGGAATTTGTATGAGTTCGAGATTTCGGATGTGAAGTTTCCCGGGGTGGTGGTCGGGATTGATGAGAGGATGGATGAGCAAGAGGAGTTGCCGAGTTACCAGCAGCAGTTGGCTTAAGGATCATGAGTGAGTGGTGGGTGTGCTTGTTGGAGAATGAGGGCATACGCGGAAGCGCTGAGGTATTAATCCTAGCCGGGTAGGGGGTGATAGAAAGTCATTGGTAGATTATAAACAGAGACGGTTTGACCAAAGTCAGATTTGCTTGATTTGCGTGTGTCAAAAGTAAATGTTAAGGCGGGCGAGGCTCTCGGTGCAATACGGGCACAATGTTGCGTACCGGCCAAGGCCATCGAGACCACTAGTGTAAGGCACAACTTCAGATTACCTCAGCCTATGTGATTCTCCCACGTAGTGTCATTCGGCTGTGGTATTCTCGTGTCACGAACTGAGCAGGGCTGGCCTTTCAGCGTTTGCCGGTTTCGGTCACAATGGGAGATAGTACGGGATGGTCCTGCTGGAGAGCCGCTTTCAGAATCGGCCAGGCCAGGGATGGGGAATTCCTAGTGCGGAGGGCAAGAGCGTTGAATCCTCGGAGATGCTGAAGAGAATTTTCGCCTCATTCCGCAAACTTGGTCATGCGTTGTTGCTTGCCATCGACCATTGGGGCATCCCATGGTTCAAAGAACGAAAAATTATTAACGCGGTTAAGGGGGGAAAGGTCTTATTGGTGGTCCCCTAGCAAAGCTGCGCGAAATATTGGCGGTAGCTAGGAGGCTCTGGATGTGGAAGATCGTTGATCGGTAGGCAGGATAGAGGATCTGGAGTGGAAGCTCACACGTGGTGCCTATAAAGCTGTGGCGTTTCTATTGGCGGCAGCCTTTCAAGAGTCGCACATTGTGCCAAGTCAGAGAGCTCACCGAAACTATGGATTCACCAATCGCTAGGAAGCTGGAAGATTAAAATGTCATTGGCGGCCATCGAGGCAAGTATGGGGCAGTGTTCCGAAAACACATCAGACTTAGGTCAAGAGGCCAACACGAGCCGCCAATTCTTTCGAATTGGAGATACTTTCCAAATTGAAACATGTGCGGGGCAAGTCTGCATATTGATGAAAAAGGAGTGGGTTCTTTTGCTTGGGGCGAAAACAACCGGTTTCCCGCCGCCAGAACTTCATGTCGTCAATCGCTGGAAGGGTAACGAACTCAATCAACTTCCAAAACATGATTGCTGCTAACTTTAGATCTAGTTCATCCAACCACAGAAGCTTTATTCCTAGCTTCCGAAGAGAATCAAGGACAATTATGGTCGAACAAGAGCAACAAGCCAAATGTAAGCGGCTCGAGACTCGTATCGACTCCCCCAATCGGCCCTCACACCCCTTCACATCGGCAGCGGCGACACGAAATCACACACCGATGGGAAGATGGGAGAGCGAGAAGGCAGAAGACCAGCCATGGAATGTACTTACTGCCTCCAAGACCGACTCGGGTTGGAGAGAATGTTTCGGTTTGCAAGTCACATCTTCCACGAAGGGAGAACAAGGAAGTGTTGGTGAAGAAACAAAATGAGAGAGTGTGGCAGAAACTTCTCAAAGTGCAAAGGAGGGACCAGTTGCACTTGCAAGGGAAAAGATTTGTTGTGATAGCATCATACGCGTACCACAAAATACAGTCGATCTGGCCTCGACAGAAAACGAGTGTGAGGCTCTAATATGTATTTCGAATGCTTGACATTTTTGCAGAATCAGTCCTCCATCTTCTCGGCAAACCCTTTCTCTTCTAGCTCCGATGCTGGTTCGTCGGGCACCAACCCACCATCGACTTCTTGATCGTCGCTTCCCAGATTTCCCCAGGCCGCCTTGTTCTTTTTCGGCTCACCCGGCCCTTCGCTCTTGAAATGGTATCCTCTTACTCTTGGCCCCTGACCGCTCTTTTCAGGCAACTCGCTCTCATAGGTTGTCTCAAACTCTTTGCAGTCAGCGTCGAAAGTCCCGTTTTTGATACTTTCTCGAATTGCAGCGAAGAACTCAGAAAGAATGTAGTGGTTGTGAACTTGAAGCAGTACCCAGCCGAGCATTTCTTTGGCAGAGAGAAGGTGTTGGACATAAGCACGGTGGTGGGATGTGCAGGTATAGCAGGTACAAGATGTATCCAGCGGAGTGATAGATGTGGAGTGCACTGCTGGCCACATATCTACTCCCAGTTGCAATGCTCCAGCACCATTTGAAATGACCACACCAGTTGGCGGAGGGCGTGGAAATCGGAAGGTCAATGCGATTCCGGCATCCGTTGCGAACCCAATAAATGGAACAGTAAATATATCCATGCCGAGTGATATCTGCCTCAGTATCTGACGTGGAGAAGACGGCTCGTCCAGAGACAGTCGTGGAAGTTTTGAAATTGCTGTGGTGGCAGGGATGTCGGGAAGAAGATTCGAATCGTAGAATGCGAGACCAGAGACCTCATCAGCTAGATCATCTGCAATATTGTTTAAATATTCTGACTGATCCAGAAAATCAATTGGGAGAACAGGCGCAAAGACGACTTGCGCTTCCCGCTTTTCGCTGAGAAGTTGTGAGAGCCATTCTTGAGTTCTGCCTCCCATTTTGGCGACTCTTTTCGTACCAGGCAAGGCACCATATGGAACATCAGCAAGGGCTATCGCGATGTCGGGTCGTAGCATCTCGATATATGAGATGTAAGATTTGTTGGTGAGGAGCTGGAAACCGGTGGAAGTGAAGATTGATATGGCAGTGTTGCTGTTGCCATTGGGAGCAGAGACTGCTGGTGTGCGGCGCGGTGCGAGTAAGGAAGGCAGTGATTTTGGAAGTGCTGTAAATGTATGAAGGGGAGAAGGACCAGGGCAATTCATTATCGGCGGCGTGCCGTTCATTGCTCTTTCTACAACTGGACAATGTCAGAAGATGAAGAGGCACGTGATCTAAGAGCCCCACTTACAGTCTTCTAATGCCACATGAACACCGCCTATTTGTGTATATGTGGATATCACATCTGGTGTAAGATGTGGAACCACGCCTCTAGAAGTGACAGCAAAGAAATTTGGCGTTTCGATATCGCGTCTGCCCTGGATAGAAAGTCGTCCAAAACGTGGTCCGGCTGCATTTGCGTCGAGGTAACTCAGAATCTCGAACAAGATCTTTCGCCCCGTCCCGGGAAGTCTACTTGTAGAGGCCATGCTACTTCAGGGGTGCCTGCAGTAGGATGACTTCAAGGGTGAAATTTCGAGTTGTCCAGAATTGCTAATTTGTCTGCAGGCCGGCACCCTCGGCAGCTATCGTGGGCGTCTGAGATACACAGACCCAATCTCAAATAAGACATCCACATATCCAATCGTTGTGGTTGAGACGTCAAGTTTTGAGAGCAAATCTATATAAAAAGTTCAAGAAGTTTTGGTGCTGGCGGAATGAATCGGGAAAGGTTTCTCACTTCCCTACGCCAGTCCTCCTTTTGACTAGCGTTCGGCGATAAGCGATTGGCGGCCTGAGCTTATCGGCTGCCCACGTTTTGCTGGACCCCTGGGCTTTCTGGAACAGATAAGGTCCGAGGGGCTGGCCTCGTGAACTTGTTTACTCTTTCTCTTCTTCCTCATCCTCAATCCCTCGTTTGGTGGCGATCTGGTTCGAGTAGCAATGCTCTTCGAATTTTGAATAGTTTCTTTCCAAATGCTTTGACATCCAGAGGTGAGCCTTCCCCGGGGTTCTCGGAGCTCGCTGACGTGGATTAACAGTTCACAAAGTACAATTTGCAGCATGGCTCGAAACGGCGACGGAGAGATGGGGAGGTTGCTCGATGGGCATCCGGACGACCCTATCGACGAGTCTACTCAAACGAATCTTCTCCCCATGGATGAATTCTCCGACGACAGCTCCCCTCCAACCCCGCGATTTATGCAAGACCAAGGATCATATCGACACCTGAAATGGGTTCCTGTACCGTTTCGAAAATTCAGCAAAGCAGTGGTGAAGTGGGTAAAGGGACCGGATATACCTGAAGCACATACCATCAAGCCATTGTTTCCATTTATACAAGAAGCGCCAATTCGATTCTTGGATAAACACGTCCCCAAGCGAAGGCACAGGATACTGCTCTTGATCTCATTCTATTTCTTGTGGGTATTGACCTTTGCTTTGGTCATGCATGGCGGAAATACTGCAACGGAAATAGAAGGATGGGGAAGGCCAGGGAATATAGGCTGTGGGAATACATACTGGGTTCCAGGTAATCGATGTGGTCTCAACGGGAATGATTGTCGGCCATTCAGTGGAAGCGGCTTTGCATTTCGATGTCCCGCGAACTGCGCTGGGCAGTGGGTGTGGAATCCGCGGGCAGTGGGTGACCAAGAAATCTCCTACCAACCTCTTGTTATCGGAGGACCCTCGGAGGACGACGAGACACCCATCTATCGAAGCGATTCCTTCATTTGCAGCGCGGCTATCCATGCTGGAGTCATTGATAACACAGTCGGCGGGTGCGGAGTTGTCTCTCTGGTTGGATACCACACCAATTTCCACAATTCAAGCAGGAATGGCATTGATAGCATACCCTTCGATTCTAATTTTCCGTCATCCTTTACCTTCCACAACAAGATTACTTGTGAGGCGAATGATGCCCGCTGGGAATTGCTATTCGTATCACTTACTTTTACGATCTTATTGTCACTCTTTACTACATCGCCTGGAGTTTTCTTCTTCAGTATATTTATCGGACTCTTCTTCCACGTTGGACTGGCTTCAGACCCGCCATTTACTGGTGATACAGCGTCCCTGGTATCCAATCTTCTAGGCAAGCTTCTACCGGCAGCTTTCTGCTCATATGTTATGTATGTGAATATGGGAGTACGTCGAATATTGGTTGGTCTCACGGCTCAAATCGAGAAAACCGTCCTATGGTTGGGAGGTTGTTGGCTTGGATCGCTCACAAACTACACATTTGAAAGATGGATTCCAATTCAGCGGTTGAATGGTCACGACCTGAAGCAGCAGCCAGGAGCAATAATGGCTCTAATCGTCATCGCCGTCATTCTGTTTTTCATTGTAATAAAGCAGATATATTTCTTCCAACGTGAGGGACGTTTAGTCCAATACTTGGGTATATATGGAATATTCTTGGGTGGGATTTTTGTATCCCTTCTACTTCCCGGCCTCAGTCTCCGGATCCATCATTACATACTGGCATTACTGCTTCTTCCTGGAACGAGCATGCAAACTCGGCCTTCCCTGCTCTACCAGGGAATTCTCATCGGATTTTTTATCAACGGCATCGCGAGGTGGGGCTTTGATCCAGTTCTCCAAACACCAAAGGCTCTCCAAGGAGACGCACAACACAATTCAAAACTCCCCCATATCTCACCACCAACAATTCAGCTTGGAGAAAACACCTCGAGCATCAGATTCTCCTGGTTGCCTCCACCCGAGCCATTTGACGGCATCAGCGTCCTCGTCAACGATGTCGAACGATTCCGAGGCTACACTGATGAGGGCTTTGCAAGCGACAAACACTTCGTTTGGACGAAAGATCCGAGGGCTAATGAGCCAGAATTCTTTCGATTTGCATATATGGAAGGAACACAGAGTTGGGATTATACACGAGCGGGGATTTGGAATGCGGATGGATCATGGACGGAAATGCAACCTGGGGCGAGCAAGATAAAGAGCACATCGCTGGATGGGGAGAAGATGACGAGGTAGAGTATATATGTAATGACTAGATGAGATTACGTTCTCCATGAATCCATGGATAGTTTCGAAATCTCAAGTCTCAATGTAAGATTACCAGAATTGTTGGGACATTGGATGCAACAGAACTTCGAGGACTATCATTATTCGGTGGCCATGTATTCAGAAATCCTAACGTGTCAATCCGACTTCAGATACGACCTACAACAAAGCTTCGAGGCAATAACATTAGCTCCTTCCCCTGTATTCCGCCACTTAAAGCGGGGAAGGAGTAGTACTGGCCAAGGAGAAATCTTTTTTTGACTCGTCAAGTCGTAGAATCAAAGCAGTAAAAGAGTGTCTGGCTCCTCTATAAAGCTTAACTAAGTAAAGCAATTATATTATAATATATATAACTCTCAAGTAATTATAAGAAGTAGCCTAGTAATTAAGTACTTATATAATTAGAACTAATGGTTTGAACTAAATTAAACTAATATAAATTTTATTAAACTAAACCAGGCTAGACTAGACTAAACTTAACTAATAAATCCAATAAACCAATAAACTATATTATGCTTTATATTCTATTCAAATCAAATTATTACCCGATTAGACCCAGATATTAGCATTCTGATATTTCATATTTGTTACGGGTGCGGCATTCAAGGCTTGGAAAGGAAGGTAGAAGGTCCCTCACAAAGACGATTCAAAGCTAAAGAAGGAAAAACTAGAATACAGGAGGTTGCGAGGGTATAAGTGCACCCCACAATGCGCTAGCCCGCATTGGGCCTAGCGTTTTAAATTTCCCATACGCATTCTATAGCACTGCCCATTATTTATACTCATATATGCACCCTCCCCCCCCGCATCTTCATTCTACCTTCCCATCTCTCAACATAGCACCCCGCACAATATCTAGCCCTGGACTACTGTATCCCGAGACCGAAACAGTCCCGCCTTCGCTATAGTCGCAAGAAACTATATTATAGTCAATCTGCAGCTGCGTCAAATCTTGCTGCCGAATCTCGCATGCCTAAATAATCGCGTTAAATATCGCTATTCTAAACTAAAGATCCAATTATGCCTTCCCGAATATTATTACAATCTAATTAACTATCATAATATAATAACCATAAAGCCCGACTATATTAATAATACAGAAAACAAGGGTCTTGCAGGAGCGGCTTCTATCTTCTCATCTCCTAATCTTCGGGTCTGAAGAGCTCTGCTGGCAATGTTCAAACTGCAACCAGTGCGATTGCGGTCTTGATCAAGTACACACTCGAGCCTACGAGCGCAATGCCACATGGAAAGGTGACTTTAAACCACGATTTCCCAAAGCTACCAGTCGGAAGAGATTAGAATCGATTCTTGGTAAAGATCCGTCGCATAACCAACTCCGCATGGCATGAAGATTGGCGCTCGAGGCGTACTCCGATTTGGACATGACCTACCGCAAAGACACTCTTCCTGCTATCGCTGGACTAGTGCGGGGTTTCAACAAACGGCTCGGTGAGAAAAAGTACCTTCTGGGACTTTGGTATGAAGAATATGGAGAAGATCTCAAGGATTTGAGCGAGACCGTTCTGGACCTGCTGTGGAGACTCGAATACAACAAAGATGCTAAAAGGGAGAACCTTGACAGCCCGTTCGTCAAGATGTCTTGGAGTTGGGCGTTTCCACAGTGCTCCATCATCTACCCGTTCAACCAAGACGAAATCCTTGGTCAGTATGCCACCCCATTGTGGGGGAGAGGAGCCAATAACGTCCCGAGGCTCCCAGACGACCATGCCGTCGAACGCCCGTGGCTGAACTACATGTACACCGAAGCATCACCCACAGGACTGACAATGGCAGGCCGCTTGTGGGAAACTCGACTACTACCCACTAAGATTTACTTCTCGATTAAGAATACAGAAGATCGAGAATACTGCTATCATCTGGGAGCTATGTCGTACAACGTTTTACAGGAGCGTGCTCTGTGTAGACCAGTTCAGGCCACGCAAATTCGCGTTGAGCCGCCAAACGAGGAGAAAGCCAGTGGAACAACGTTTGATAAGATGCCCCTGATAGCCTTTTACCCCGACGACCTGAAGACGGTCTGTGCAGGGCCGATTTTCTGCTTTCCGATGGCGAAGTTCCGACATGTTCCTTCTAAACAGGATCTGGATGAGAAAATCATTTTCGTTGCACTAATCGTGGAGGCAGTTGGACACCTCGCAACGACAGAGGGTTACAATCCCGATCTCACTTCTAAGCCTCTCAGTGAACTCGTCTTTCGGAGACTTGGATTGGCATATACGGTGGATGGCGGCTGGACAAATGAACATAATAAAATGGTTGTAAAGCTCCCAATTATGAGCGTGCGGATAGTCTAGTAAGAGCGGGAGCTACTACGGTGGAGGGGAGTGGACAAAGGCATAAACCGTTAAATATCTCAAAAGGGCTTTCCATCATCAAGCCACAATCTCTGAGAAGAAATATGTGTATAAATGAAGTTTATTACGGCCGGCCTGATATTTAGATGAGAATACTCCACGTCCAACCATTTCTTCAGCCGGTGTCTGTTCAGAGAAACATCCCCGCAGCCAATGATCAGACCTCAGGCATTGGCTCGTGGATGCGGCGGGTGGTTAGCTGACAAGCCTTGCTCTTCGGGCTGTACAGGGAATTCTCCAACCGTGTAGGTCTTTGTTGGTCGGACCAGCGAGCCACTCAAAAACGATGCGGCGTGAATATGGCAACCGACATGTTGCTCACCCATGTAGGGAGCTACCCGGTCACCAAGTCTGTCTGCTAGAATTCCCTTGAGTCAACGATACGGTACCGGTCTTGAGATACAGACCTAGGCGCTGCGGGCGTTGCACACGCCTTTCCAAATAGGGCGGTATCGCAGGAGATGTTGTTCACAACGTGCTTGATTGAGCTTCAGCGGCTTGCGTCAATCTCGTGGTTGATTGGTTTTGGAAGATTGGGTAGCCAGAGACGTGAGGCTACCCGGCGTGAGGGTGCCCTGAAACGAAGTGAAAGGGAAAATCAACCCCGCCGCTAGGAGGCCCGCTGGTGGCCGTAGGGCGGTTGTGCACTGCAGGTTTCAGGGCATCGGCGTGCGCAGCGCGCGTTACCGGTTTTAGTCACAACCCAACCCAGCCAAACCCGTCTTCCAATAGGCTGGATGGGAGCCAACTAATCCCGGTATGCAGGCCACAAAGGATTCTGGTTTTGAGAACGAGTAAAAAGTTTCATTGGATTGAAAGAATTTGCACTCCCTCGAATATGGAGTAATTTTAGATATCACGCGTGTGCAAATGCAACGTATGCTCCATTGTGAAGTCATCATGGGTTGGAACCGAACTGGGACGCTCGCTAATCCTTTCAGCCACTCCCGTCGTCCAGCCACGCCACCCGCCCAAGCCGCCACTCATATCGTATATCCTCATGCCCTCCCGTCACCCTTGATTCGGACATCACTTTTGCGTCATGGCTAAAGATTTTGTTAAACAGGACCACGAATTTCTGATCTTCGAGATATGTACAGCCATTAGATATGGCACGGGCCAGTATGGTTCAGCTGGGCTGAATTCCAGCTCCAGAACGGGCGACGGCAGGAAGGGTGTGCCCGATTGTAGAAGCTGATGCTCAGTAAATTTCTCCGCCGCAAACGCTAGGCAAAGAGCTTCATGAAAGACAAGATAGTACATTAAATATAGAAGGCTCCGTTTGGTATGTAATTGTTCGTTTTTTCCTTGGCTTCCCCCGTGTAATCTTCGCAGGTTGTTTCTTCGATATGCTTTGACGGTGCACTAGAAATAGAACTAGAGCCTTTTGGGCTTAGCGCATTACCACAAAATGAGCAAATGTTTATGAGCCGCCGCTATTCTACGCACTCTTCGATATCGTTAAAAAACTCGGTCCCAGACGTAACTTATATTCATCTGCTTATCTCCAAGATGTTGAAACGGATCGTAGGCTGGTTCCATTCTAAATCTACAGACAAGACAACGAGACCAGATACCAACATCGCAGCGAAAGATAGTTCCGGACGGACAGCGCTTCACGAGGCAGCCAAGAGCGGACGCCAGACAGTAGTGCGGTTGCTCATCGAGCAGGGAGCCGACATTGCAGCGAATGATAGTGCCGGACGGACGGCGCTACATGAGGCAGCCAAGAACGGACACGAGACGGTAGTGCGGTTGCTCATCGAGAAGGGAGCCAATGTTGGAGCGAAGGATAGTTCTGGAGGGGTAGCGCTCCACGAGGCAGCCAAGAGCGGACACCAGACGGTAGTGCGGTTGCTCATCAAGAAGGGAGCTGACGTCGCAGCGAAGGATAGCGCCGGAGGGACAGCTCTACATGAGGCAGCCAATAGTGAACATGAGGTGGTAGTGCGGTTGCTTATTGAGAAGGGAGCCAAGGTGACGGCGAAGGATAACTTTAATCTAACGGCTCTGCACTTTGCAGCGAACAACGGGAACCAGGTGATAGTACAACAATTACTCAAGAAAGGCGCCGACGTTACTGCGCAGACTTTATCCGGAGATACTGCACTCCATATGGCATATCGCAAGGGGCACAAGGAGGTGATGCAATTGCTCATCAAGGGAGGAGCTGATGTCACAGCAATTACACCGCCAATCGCACCCCGAGCGTCTCAATTACAGAACCGTCCTCCTCCGGCTGCCGCCAAAACGCCTGCACTACAGACTCGTCCTCCTCCGCCTCCAACGAGCAATAAGAATACCATAAACAATAGCCCTGTTAGGAGGACTTGTGGGTTGTGCTTAGGTTATCTAGACTACGAACCTGGCTCAACCGAAATGTGTCTTTGCGCAGGGTCTTAAAAGACTTTTCTATAAGTACGACTAAGATATGTTTTATGCTAGATCCTGCACTCTTGAGAAAGCCTTTACCCAGACTATCACAACCGGAGCCATTCACAACCTCACAGGGAATCAACTCCTACCGGAGCAGCTGATCTACAGCTTTATCTGAGCACAATCGCCTAACGGGATCCAAATCCTATGGAATTCGAGCATAAAGTGAAAGATATTAGAGACTCTTTCAAGAGAGCATTCGCTTTCAGCTCACACAATAACCTCGGTGCTCCCGCTCACGAAGCAGACCACATTACTTCGACTTTCGAGTTTCCTGAGACTATTCAATGATTTGTTTCTATCGAAATTCGCATATGAACTCAAGACTCGAGTCTGTCGTCACCGCCTATGACTCATCGCGATCGGTTTCGAATTAGTCCAATTCGCAATACATCTCGCACCAAGACGGGTACATATTCCACTGCTACGATCGACATAGACTGAATCAGAACAATCGGGATACAGCGAACGCCTCTTGTGTCAACGTTTAGGGGACTCCTGTAGTACTTAACTCGGAATATACACCCGCAAGAGCATCTCTACGAAGTCTCATTCGACTGCGCAATCAATCATCCGATTGCAATCCCTACAGCTTTGCTTGTCCGTCCAAGGAGCATTTGTTTCGCCACTCCTCCTCGCTCGTCCGTCCACAGAGCATCCATCTATTTCACGACTACTCTGCTTAGTCCCTTAGGATACATCCACATACGGACCTTTCCGTCCCAAGAGTCACATCCTAAAGCGTCATCCGCTTCGCTCGTCCTTCAACTGAGGATTCGTCAACTCTCCCTACACCTGAGGTCCCCTGGGAGTACGTCCCAAAACTGCCTCTTTAATTGATCACCGGTCGAATACCGTGGCACTAGATCCAGGCTGACATCGATTTGAAATATATCACCCGCGAACGCTCCATTCCGTTTTCAGACGTCTGCATCGCTAGTATGAAATTGGCAATGGATCGAGCTGATATTCCCCTTGAAGAGCCTCTGACCAGAGAACTGAAGCTCGAGGTCAAATTACAACTAGAAGAATACTGGAAATTTCATCGACGAGATCTCATGTTTCGAAGAAACACCAAATTGTCCTGGGTTCTCACTGAAAATATGATAACTCTGGATGAAGCTACTCCCCAGCTGAAGCCTAACAAACTCAGCCGCTTTTGCAATAAGCCTACAACGCTCTACCTTTCACCATCGGGGCAGCGAAACAATGTTTGCCCTACGATAATTCTCGGTTGCATCTACAAAGACTGGTTTCTCCGTTACGACAACGAACCTAACTTCGAATTTGGTCGTTTCTTTGCAGGCCCGGTTCGGATCACTTCTACTGGTCCTCAAGCAGTGGTAGATATTGTTCGATCTCACAAATCCCTCTGCGACCAAGCATCCTGGCTCCTCACAAGTCTAGACCGAGGGGAGAAGCCTTCTCCATGTTGTAAACTCACCACACAGACTCACAAACTGCTCCCACTATGCAGAGCCATCATTCTCGTCCTCGACGAGCTGGATGAAGATGTAAAGGAAGATGAGGACCGGCGCATCAGTCTCGATGAGTACTCTCAGGCACAAAGCGTATTGATGGTCAGGACAGGAGATGAATCCCATTTGAGTACTCGGATAACATTCGAGCACATCAGGAAACAAGCATTCCGACTCAAAAGAGACGATTGCGATTTGGAAGGCATTGAAGTAATCCGGGTCTCTCTTGCGTTGGTAGTCGACTTCGTTACGACTTTGCAGCAAAGAGAAGACGTTGCAACGCCAAGTGGAATGAATAACCATACCATAGACAGATCTCTTTGTCCATCGGATGACCAGAACAGCTATGTCGATCTTGCTCTCAGCGCTGATGTATGGGCAGAGAAGATCTTGCAACAAACTGATGAACTTGGATTCGAGAATTGTGTTGTTGAAATGAAGCTTGATTGTTGTGTTTTCTATGGAAGCTCCGCTTCCTTAAAACTCTGGAAATTACGACTCCACTTAAAAGTGGGCCACACAGAGCGTACAGCCCCTGATTTTCAACATGTGTGTCTGCCAAAAATGCTCTTATCAGAGCTTTGAAGGCTAGAAAAGGTGATGATTCAGCGCAGCTCACTCCATACCCCTTCGCGCGGACTTGGAAATAGTGTAAGACCAGCATATCCATTCCGGTGTTTGACAGCTTGTCCAGCTACTTCTTGCCGGAAACACAACCACACCTGACCTTATCCTCAACGCTCTACAATGATCCTCCATATACGACAGTACGAAGTATGGTTTCCGGCTGTTCATTCTCGAATAAACCTCCATACTTATAGGAGAACGTGAAGGAGATTGTAGGGTTAGAGAAGCTGTCTGAGGTGGCGAAGGTGTTAGGGGAGTTTGGATGTGCCAATTTTAAGTTTAGAGAGGAGATTGCAGGATGGCAAGAAATGCAGCAGGTTGAGGGGCCCGAGGGCAAAGGTAAATTGAGAACGGAATGGAGATGCAACGGGTTGCAGACCTTGAGGTCAGAGGCACATCGAAAGATGAATGAAGATGCAGCAGGTTTGGAGGATGATGCTCTTGCGGGTCGCAGGGATAGCTATCATTTCTGCTTCGGCAATGTATTCTGTGTTTTTGCGTTGTAGCTTAGATCAATAGAAAACATGGTATGTAAGATTGGAATGTGTGTGCCGCTCGCAAATTCGACAGCCCCAACAGGCTACACGGCTACACGCCGTACATAAATGTCCCATAATTGATTTAATACCCTTTCTCCTTCTCCAAGGAGATATCGGCTGTCAGATTATTAATGTGCCCAATCAGATTTTTAACCTTTCCTAGCACAGAACGTATTCAATCAGTTGATTATTGATGTATAAAGCTCGTAATCTATTAACAACTATTGGGTGCTACGAAGACGCTCTATGTCTTATATTGACTCGTCGGGTCAGGTCAAAATGATAATAATCAGAGAATAGTAGCTCCTGACAAAGATGTGAGGATATAAGTATTATATTTATACTTCTCGAGACTATTTCCGGACCTTCGATTATATATAGAATAATATGCAGTGGTTCGGTTTGTATTACTTTACTAGAAATAACAAGTAATAGCTGATTTTAGATATTTATTATAAATATTAAAATATATAGTTTATATAAAATACTAAACTTTTATTTTTTAGTCTTTCTAATTATTTAATAATTCGAGGCTATTAAATACTATATTATATAGGAAAATATTATATATATAAATAGATATTATAAGATAATAAAATAAATTAATAAATTATAAAACTATAAAATTAAATTTCATATAAAACTAATCTTTATTTCTTTTATAAGATTTAGAAAAGCTTTCTTTAAATAAAAAACTTTAATAATATATATATATATATAGTAATTTATAAGCCTAAAGCCTATAATATAAATAGTAATATAATTAAATTATTAAAGAATTATTAATTTCTCTAATTAATACTCGCGATATTTAAAGTTTATTATATATTTTTTAATTATATATAATTATATTTCTTTTCTAAAATCTAATTCTTTAAATTTATTAATTTATTTTAATAAAATATTTAATTAATTAATTATTATTATAAGTATAATATTCTGGGTTTAAAAAGTAAAATAGAAGATTTCTTATAAAAATAATTTAAAGCTAAAAAAGAGAAAACCAGAATATAGGAAATTGTAAAGAAATATATATATTCTATAATATACTAGTTCTAAAAGAACTTAGTCTTTTAAATATCTCTAATATATTCCAAGTATAACTCCTTAATAAAGTAGCTATATTATATATATCTAGGAAGTATTTAAATATTTAGCTAGATATTTCAAATACCGGATATCTAAATATCTAATAAATTATAATATTATTTCTTTTTTTAGAATAAGCTTATTTTCGAGCTTTATAAAAGCTATTAATTTATTTAATTTCATACTATTCTTTTTCCTAAAATAAACTAGTATCTCGAATATAAATATTATATATAAAAGGCAAATATCTTTAATATATAATTTAGAAGAATTTATTATTATTTCTATATAGTTTTAAATAAGTATTATTACGGGTATAATATTTAGGGCTTGGAAAGTAAGGTAAAAGGTCTTTTATAAAGACGATTTAAAGCTAAGAAAAAGAAAACTAGAATATAGAAGGCTATAAGAAAATATATATATTTTATAATATACTAGTCCCGAAAGGGCTTAGCCTTCTAAATATCTCTAGTATATTTCAAGTATATTTCTCTAGTAAGGCGGCCCGTATTATATATATCTAGAAGGCATCTGATATCTGGTGTGGGAGGGAAACTGTAATAAGACAAAAACCCACATAAAGTATACCAGAGCGCAAAACGTGACTTGATAGCAAAATAACAAATCAAAAGCGTAAATAGTAAAGCATAAATAGTGCGCAGTATGCAAAAGCTCAATTAATTAAATATTTTTGAAGGATTATTCTCTAAGTCTACAGAAAAACCAGCTCTCTTATGTAATTTCCGCAAGTCACGTGCAAAAGGCCGCGGCCTTTGCCATGTGACCTAAACCTCAAAACCGCCAAAACGATATGATTTTTGACGAGTACGGCCTGCCGTACCACACTGGCCAGATATCTGAGTATTTAATAAATTATAATATTATTTCTCTTTTTAGAATAAGCTTATTCCCGAACTTTATAAAAGCTATTAATCTATCTAATTTTATACTATTCTCTTTTCTAAAATAAACTAGTATTTCGGATATAGATATTATATATAAAAGGCGGGTGCCTTTAATATATAATTTAGGAGAATTTATTATTATTTCTATATAATTCTAGATAAATATTATTTTTTATATAATCTAGCTAATATTATAGGTTTTATAAAAATCCTAATATATTATTATTATTATTATTATTATTATAATAGAAGCTCTATAAAACCAGGAGGCTATTATTTAGTACTAAAACTAGATATTATATTAGATCCTTATTCTAACTAATTTACTAGATTCTATATTTTAGTTTATTTCTTATTAGCTTAACTATAATAACTCGTTTAATACTATATTCTTATTTACTATTCTCTAGTATTAATAAGAGCGGCTCCGGATTTGCTTAATTTAATAAAGAATTTTAAGAATTCTTTTATAATTTCTTTATATAGAAAACTAGATATATTTTTATAATTTCCGGCAGTTTTAGAAGAAATAAATAGCTATATTATTCTAGAATCTCAAATAAGTCTTTTATTTAATTCCCTAGCTTCTAGCTTAAATAATTAGATTTCTAATATTTTATTTTATAGTAATTTATATTTTATTCCTGATTTTAAAATTAATTAAATAGTAGTATTTATTAGCTTATATTATATATTATTTCTATATTTATTTTATATAATCTTAAGTAAATTACTATAATTTATATAATTAATTTACTAATACTTTAGCTTTATTTCTATTTAGCTTCTTTTTAGATAAGCTAGCTTTAATAAAGGAGTTCTAGTCTAGAGAAATATAAGGCTTATAGCTCTTTTTAGTTATAAATAAGAACTAGCTAATAGTTTTATACTAAAGGAAAGCTTATTAATAATTAAATTATAATAATCTATTTATTCTAGTTATTCTAATAATAATTAATATATAAATATAATTTCTATTTATTTATTTATTTAAGAATAATTAGCTATTAAGAGCTTGGGCTTAATACTAATTCTTATATAGAATTCGCTCTAAAAATTAGATATAAATTAGAGTTCTTAATTTAATATAATTATTTCTGAAATATTTATTTAGTATATTATATAAAGTAAAAATAGAAATACTAGCTATTTGGCTATAATTATATTTCATATAATAATTATAATTAGATACTTAAATAAGTAGTTTATAAATATAGTAATTATATTATACCCCGATTTATTTTTTAGATAGCTTTTAAAATCCATAATAATATATTACTAGAAGTAATTAGGAACTAGAAAGAAATAAAGTAAACTAGGCTTTTTATTTCTAGATATATATAATTTCTTATAAGTATAGTAATTACTATAATATTAATTAATATCTTTACTTATAAATAGCTAGTAATATTACTTTTTTAATAGCTAATAAAGCTTTATATATCTAGGATATCTAGAAAGGAATTTATTATATATTTTATAAAAGTAATTCAGGAATTATTTTATTCTTTATAATATAAAGTCTTCTATAATATAAAAGAAAGCCGTTTTATAATATCTAGATATTACTTTTAGCTTAGGCTATTATATATAGCTTTTCTAGATTTAGTAATATATAATTATTTTATAAGATTTTATTTATAAGTTATAAGCTATTATATTTAATAAAAGCTTCTAATAATACTTTTTTTAGGAGTAATTATAGTAAAGTTTACTAATAAAGCTTCTAAGAAAAAACTTTTTTCTAGAGAAATTATATTTCTAATAAAAGTATTTTCTTTTAGAAAGTCTTTAATATATATTTGGTTTTTAGAACCGAATTCCGGATTAAATAAACCGATTTTATAAAATATTATTATAAGCTATAAGTTATAGATAATCTCCGAATTAATTTTATTTCTAAAAAGAAATATTTGAGTTTATAGCTTTTTTTTAATCTGGCCCTAAATATCTATTTTATCTTATTTTTATAATAAAATATTTATTTATTTATTTAATTTTCCAAAATAATATAAAAGCTTAAAATAATAGTAAAATAAGAGCTTAACTTATTTAGCTTATTAAGAAAAAAGCTTTTTAGTAATTATAAAATATTTTAAGATATAGTAATTAGGATAAATTTTAAAGAAAGTATTCTAAAAGCCCTTTAGCTTAATTTTTTTATTTCTTTAATACTTGTATTATAGCAAGTATTTTCTTATTATAATTAATCTTTACTAGAAATATAATTTTGGAAAAATAAGCTATAGAATATTAAAGGCCTGTTTCTGGATTTTATTAAAAAAGTAAACTAATAATTATTTCTTTAAATATATCTATTTTTATTATTATAGGCAGATCTAGATTATAGTATTATAAAATTAGAATAGAAATTATAGCTTTTTTTTAGATAATTAAAAGTCTTTTAATATTATTTAAACTATTTAAAAAAAATCTTTTTTATAAATAAGGTAAAAAATTTAGTAATTTATTTATATTCTTTAATAAAGCATTTATAAAAGTTATAGAAGTTAAAAAAGAACTATATATTCTTAACTATTTTTGGGAATTACTAATTATATATTATTTTAATTTTATTAGAATTTATTTTA